TGCTTACACATGCGCGTCTGATTGACTTCACCTGTGAGTCTCTAGCTGCAAGCAGGGGAGATGGCTCAGCCGGGTAAGCGCTTCCCTGGCAAGCGCAAGGGCCTGAGTTCAATCCCTGGTTCCACAGGGAAAAAGAAAGTCCAAAGGTCTAGTTGCATCCATTTACCTATAAAAGCCTCAAGTTGTTTTTTGTTTTTTTTTAAATAGCTGAGTAATACTCCATTTTACAAAAATACCACACGTTTTATCCATTCCTCAGTGGATGGGCCTTTGGGTTGTTTCCAAAATTTAGCTAATATAAACTGCGTTGCTACAAATGTGAGGGCACAGACATAACTGCGGTGTGATGTTTTTAATTCTTCTGGAAAAATACCCAGAAGGGGAATTTCTGGGTTAAATGGGACCTCCAATCCAAGCTTTTGGGGAATCCCTACACTGACTTCCATGTTTGTACCAGCCTGTACCCCCACCAACTGGAGAAGGGCCCCTTTCTCCCTACAGCCAGCCCCTCCAGTGTTTGTTGACTTCTTGATGTCAGCCATTCTTTCTGGGGTGAGATGGGATCTCAGTGTTGTTTTAATTTGCATTTCTTGAATGACCAGAGATGCTGAAAATTTTTCCATATATTTATTTGCCATTTGTATTTTTTCATCTCTGAGAAGTGTATATTCATCTCAGATGCTTGTTTATGGATTGGGTCTTTGAATTTTGGGGGGCCAATTTTTTAATTATTTTTTATTATTTTGTTATTTAAAAATTAAATTGTTTTATTTAATTTTTAAAAATATTTTAATTATTTAGTACAGAGTCTACAGGGTCTCACTACACAGATCAGACTCATCGTGAGCCTCCTGTTTTCAGCCCCCCAAGTGCTGGGATTACAGGCGCGCACCACCACGCCCAGTCTCAGTCACCGTCTCAGTGCGCTCCGGGGTCAGGGCCGGCACAGCATGCTGGGGATGGAAGCTGGGTCTGTCTAGGCAGCTGCTGTAATCTGCTGAGCTATCTGACCGGCCCTTATGGGGGGGCCTAATTTTTTAAAAAAAATTTATATGTTCTAGATCGCAGGCCTTTGTCTGAGGGACAGTTGGCTAAAGTATTTTCCCAATTAGTGGGTCGTCTTTTCACTCTGTTCGTGACTTCTTTTGATGTGCAATAACTTTACTTTTTTTTTCTTTTTTTGTGGTACTGGGGATTGAACGCAGGATCTTGTGCTTACCAGGCAGGCACTTATTCTACTGAACTATCTCCCCAGCCCTGCAATAACTTTTCTTTTTTCTTTCTTCTTTCTTTCTTTTCTTTCTTTCTTTCTTTCTTTCTTTCTTTCTTTCTTTCTTTCTTTCTTTCTTTCTTTTTTTGAGGAACCAGGGATTGAACTCAGGCCCTTGCCCTTGCCAGGCACTTATTTTACTGAGCCATCTCCCTGCCCCCGCAATAACTTTTCAATGAGATCCCGTTAATGATCCTTTGAGCATTTCCTGTGCAGTTTGTTTTTTGTTCAGGAACTCTCTACTCCTACGTCTTCAAGATTTCTCCTGCTTTCTCTTTCAGTAGATTTAATATTTCTGGGTTTTTTGGGTCACTCAGCCCGCTCTGAGGGTGAGGCTGGCACGGCATGTGGTGCCAGGGATGGAACCTCGGTCCCCGGCGCCTGCCTAAGCAGGCGCTTTATTTTATTTATTTATTTAGTTAGTTAGTTTTTGGTGGTACCAGGGATCAAACTGAGGACCTTGCTCTTGCCAGGCAAGCACTTATTTCACCGAGCTATCTCCCTGGCCCCTAAGCAGGTGCTTTAGACTGCTGAGCTATCTCACCAGCCCCCGTTTTTGTTTTAATATTTAGATCTTTGATCCGTTTTGACTTTAGTGTGTGGCAATAGGTATGGATCTAATTTTAGCCTTTAGTATGTGGAAATCCACTTTTCCAAGCACCGTTTAACGAGAGACTGTGTTTCTGCCAATGAACATGTTTGGCCCTGTTTTCTAAGGTAAGGCAGCTGAGTGGCTCCGCGGCTGCATCTGCGTCTCCTGCGCTGTCCACTGTCCCTCGTGTCTGGGTTGCCAGGACCACGCTGATTCATCCCGGTAGCTTTGCAGCATAGTTGCAAGTCAGGGACTGTGAGGCCTCCTGCTTGCCTTGGTTGCCCAGGATTGCTTCTGCTATTCTAGGCCTTTTCTGGCTCCAGATGAGGTTTAGGAAGGTTTCCTCTGGCTCTGGGAGGTGTGCTCTGGCATCCTGACTGGGCCTGCTGTACACTGGACTAACAGTTTGGGAGTCTGGCTCTTCGCACAGCGCTGCTCCTCTCTTTTCCATGAGCAAGGAGTATCTCTCCATGTTTTGAAATCTTCAGTCTCTTTTTTTCAGAGTACTGTAACTTTCAATGTATAGATCTTTTTCTTGGTTTTCTTTGAAAATGTACACAGCCTCACCTCACCCGTGCTTTCCACACCGACTGACATTTCTTTGCTGCAGTTGCTGTTAATACTCTGCCAGGAAACCAGACGCCCACGTCCCTCAGCTGGCGGTCTTGTTTGGTCTTCTGAGACAAGGTCTCCGTGTGCAGTCCAGGCTGGCTGTGGGCTCGCTGCGTCGCCAGGCTGGCCTCACATTTGCCCTCCTCCTGCCTCAGGGGCCGTAAGTGCTGGGATCACAGGCCGGCACCATCACGGCCTGACGCTCTTGGTTCTTTAAAGCTACCTAATATGAATTGCCTTAACTTCTTTCCCACACTATACTTTTCCTATTCTTTAATCTCCTTCCTTCCTCCTCTCCCTTCCCCTTTCTCCTTCCCTGCCCTTGTCTCTTTTCTTCCCTCCTTTCTTCTCTTTCTCTCTTTTGTTCCTTCTTTCTTCGCTCTCTTCCTCCTCTCCCTCTTTTCCTCCTTGCGCCTCCTTTCTTTCTTCTTTCTCCCTCTCCTTTTCCCTCTCCATCCCCCCTTTCTTTTCAGTACTTGGGATTGAACACACACTCTTCACACCGAGCTGGATTCTTTTAATTTTTTTTTAAACATTTAAGGCTTTATTAAATTCCCTCTCTCTCTCACTGTTTTGCCTTTTCCCCCCAGTGGGAGATTTTCTTTTGTATTGTTTGGATTCTTTTAATTTTGTGGCTGGGTGTTGCCAAGTCACTAAGTCGCCCAGCCTGGGCGCCAACTCGCAGTCCTCCTGCCTCCGCCTCCGAGTGCTGGGACCAGCGCTTGAGCTTGACACCTTTCTGTCTCTGCTTCCCAGAGTGCTAGATCACAGGTGGGCGCCACTGAGCCTGACTTGAATACGTTTTTTGGATAGGTATATGTTTTCAGTATATAACATGTAGGCATTCGGGTGAATTACGCTTGTCTATAATCTTTGGTTCGGGTCCTTGCCCTGCTCGGAATGTTCTGCTTACTGCTCACGCTTGATTTCTCGCAGCACTCCTCGTGCCCACAGGGACTGCAGGCGCTGGAAAGCAGGCGGCGGGGGCAGTTCACGCAGCTCCATTTTATTCTGGAGCTTAAAAGTTCCATTTAATTAGGATTAAAACTTGTAAGTATGTAACAGATTAGATGTAGCACATTAGGTTGGCTTAATATACTGTGCAGTGTATCATGTCTCACAATGTTATATATTTATATGTGTCATATATGCATCTATAGCTAAGATACCACATATAATTATAAATGTAAATAGATATCTTCGACATCCGAGATACTATATATTACGTATTATATAATCACATATGAATATATTTTACATTTACGATATTATATATGTAGATATATTGTATAATCATAAACGTAAATGTATATCTTAACCCTCTAGGTGTATATAATAGATGTGGTATGCTTCGCTGTAGATATGTGCATATGTACACACGTAGTATAATAAATATATGTAGTACACTGTATATAGCATCATATAGCAATGAATGTTATGGAAAAAGTCAGGGAAACAGATAGGGTACTGGAAATTGCGACTGTATTTAAATATACACTTTATAAATAATTTACTGAGATGAAAATTTCTTTTTCTTTTTTTTTGTATTGGGGATCGAACTCAGGACATTATGCTTGCCAAGCAGGCACTTCAGCCACTGAACTAACTCCCCAGTCCCAGAGATGAAAATGTATATAAGAAAATTAGCCATTTGATCCAGGTATTGTGGTGCACACTTATAATCCCAGCACTTGGGAGGCCGAGGCAGGAAGATCACTGTAAGTTGGGAGGTCAGCCTGGGGTACTGACCAGCCTGGACTACATAACAAGACCCTGCCTCAAAAACCAAAATCAAAACTAACAAATAAAAAATTAGCCATTGGAGTTGGGCATGACGTTGCCTGCCTGTACTTCCTGCACTCTGGGAGCTGAGGCACAAGGGTTGTGCGTTTGAACCCAGCCAGGGCAATTTAGTGGATTAGTTGTCCCTGTCTCAAAATAAAAGATAGAAAGATCCTGGCTTCAAAGCTTGGTACCACAAAACCAAACCAAATCAAACCAACAACCCCCTCAAAGCAAAGCAAACAAGCAAAAAGTTAGCTATCAGAAGTGCTCTCTCGCTGACAGCGCAGGAGCTGTGATTCCTCACAGGTGGGCAGAGGGGCCTGCTGAAGGGGCCTTGAGAGAGGGAAGGACGAGGGTGCCCCTGGCTTCGCAGTCCCCTGCAGTTATCGCAGGGTGGTGTGGCCGCGGAGCAGCGAAGCCAGGGCCCGAGCTGGGTGTGTCTGCGGGGTCCACGGACAGGAAAGAGGCCTGGGGTGGCACGCACGGGCGTGCAGAAGGTGAATGGGAGAGGTAGACCTCGGAAGGTTCCAGACCCTCGGGGCTGGAGAACTTCCTCCGTGAGGTGCTCCATATTCTTGTGCCGTCTGCTACATGAGGCAACTGAGCCCTGAAAGGGGCTGGTGTGCCTGACGAGCTATAGTTGTTTTTTTTTTTTT